ACTGGGGTAGATTGTTCTAGTTCCACGTGCCATGTCTAATGGATGTCAGTTATCAGTTATCACCTGTTAATTCCCCTCTCCAAGTTCTCCACCGCCTTAACCAGGTATTGAACTCACACTCGGAACGTTGTAATATACATGGCGACAAAGATGTGGACAATAGACAGAATAATGTAAATAGTGTACATAGTACCTCATTTCAGAAATTTAGACAGATACTGAAGGGCCGAAACGTTGTGATAAATATGGCGACAAAGATGAGGACAATAGACCGAATAATGTAAATAGTGTACATAATACCTCATCTCAGAAATATAGACAGGTACTGAAGGACCGAAACGTTGTGATAAATATGGCGACAAAGATGAGGACAATAGTCTGAATAATGCAAATAGTGTACATAATACCTCATCTCAGAAATATAGACAGGTACTGAAGGACCGAAACGTTGTGATAAATATGGCGACAAAGATGAGGACAATAATCCGAATAATGTAAATAGTGTACATAATATCTCATCTCAGAAATATAGACAGATATTGAAGGGCCGAAATGTTGTGATAAATATGGCGACAAAGATGAGGACTATAGACCGAATAATGTAAATAGTTTACATATCTCATCTCAGAAATATAAGCAGATAATGAAAATTCGAGTTAATTAAAAATCACCATTCCACAATATCTTTGTTCAAAGGAAAGGAGTTTATTCTTTAGATTCACAAATACAACTAAAAGAAATATCCCAAACTAAATCTGCAATGATATCGGTTTTCACCTGGCATCTCGGTTTCAATCACTTTCCCACTACCGCTGTAATGTAGCCTCCCTGTGCTTTTTCTATAAATATATTCCATAACGACTGTTCTCATGAGTTGTTTTTTTTTTTTTTTTTTTAATACTTCGTCTTCATGAATTTAAGCGCAGTACTAGATTGGCAGTTACGTCTCATGATTTTATTAATGAAATTACTAGATGTTACCATAAGTTCTCTCGTTCGTCTCACTTGTGGATATTCTATTTCGGCTTATTGCATTTCCGGTCAAACATCTAGTGTCCCTTCAGGGCGTGGGCGATTATGACTCTCCACAATCTCCTCTCCTTTGTAGCTCTTAGTAAGCTTTATATTTTTGCTATCTTTGCTAACCAATTTGCTCGTTAGGTAGTTTATGCGCTGAATTTTTTCTGTCCGTCTTGCCTTCAAAATGTCCTCTGAGCGTTAAATTCTCCCAGCCCTCTTTCCTCATTATATGACCTAGAAATTTTCATTAACACTTTCTAATCCTAAATATTACTTTCCTTTTTTTTGTTTCCCTGTCAACTATGATCTGCAAAAATTTAAATGCAATGTCATTCGCCATTTTATTTCTACTTTTCCCTGTTCTTTTATTGTCCATTCCCTTCTGATTAAGGTTTTCTCAGTTCCCTTCACTCTCGATATCCACTTGCGTCTTAGAGGCTTTATTATCTTGCTTAGGGTGAAATAATTAGCAAAAATATAAAATGTGTATAAATGAATATAAAATAGTTATCTTGGAAAAATCTACATCTGTATTTCTATTCACTTGATTCTAAACCTTCTAAATTTTCATTCATTCGAATCTCTCGAGCATTATCTTGGTAGCAAAATATTTTAGAGTCGAGAAGAGTAATCAATTCTGAATTCTTTTGACACAGAATCCTGGGTTCTTTCAAAGAAGAATACGTCGCCGGTAGAATATGGTAGGTTTTGTCTGTTCCGAGCTCTTGGAAAAAGATAGGACAATCACAGATGTTTATGCTGAAAGAGGGATGGGAAAGAAAATATAATCCAAACCTTGAGATTTATTCATCTGAATATTTACCATTCTCGAGAATAACAGTTCAAACAGGAAATTAGTAAAGTAATCTCAAGAGAAGATCAAATTTATGTTTAGAGAGTTTACGTCATCATCTTTTCCCCGGATGTTACACCGTCGACATTTTCATTTCATCAAAACCTTTAAAGATATGAAAGAAATCAATTGAAAATTCTTTTCATCCAGAAATGCAACTAAGAGGTTCACAGTGGGGTTTAATCATTGTTAATCTTTTCAATAAAAACACATGAACATGTTTTAATTCTGCTTCCAAAATGTAACATTACATTCCAAACAAAAAAAAAAGAATATTTTTGGTAAATAAAAAAAAACAACGAACGAAAAAGAATCTTTCAAACAAATGTTTGAGTTAAGAACAATTATCAGCGCAATAAAATATAACTCAGACGGCACGACTTGAGATTAAAAGCTACGATAAAATTTATTTATAACAACTCAAAATGATTTACACAAATTTAATATACACTATTACATTATTCGTCTATTGTCCTCATCTTTGTCGCCATATTTATTACAACGTTTCGGCACTTCAGTATCTGTCTATATTTCTGAGATGAGGTATTGTGTACACTATTTACATTATTCGAACTATTGTCCTCATCTTTGTCGCCATATTTATTAAAACGTCTCCGTTTTTCGGTATCTGTATATATTTCTGAGATGAGGTATTATGTACACTATTTACATTATCCGGACTCTTATTCTCGTCTTTGTCGCCATATTTATTACAACGTTTCGGCCTTTCAGTATCTATCTATATTTCTGAGATGAGGAATTATGTACACTATTTACATTATTCGGACTATTGTCCTCATCTTTGTCGCCATATTTATTACAACGTTTCGGCCGTTGTATGCACCGGCCGTCTTCAGGTGGTTGGAATGTCGAACTGAATCCTTTATTTCGCTCACTGGGGTAGACTGTTCCAGTACCACGTGCCATGTTTAATGGATGTCAGTTGCCAGCTATCTCCTGTTAATTCCCCTCTCCAAGTTTTCCACTGTCTTTATCTACTGTGTCATATATCTTTGAGTGGATAAAGGCGTCAGATCCAGTGACAGGACCCAAAGAGTGTGAGTTCAATACCCGGTTAAGGCATTGGAGAACTTGGAGAGGGGAATTAACAGGCGATAACTAACATCTTCCCCTTGTCTTTTCTACAAATATTTTCATGACAACTGCTCTGGCAAGCTACTTTCACTGGTACCCCAACGGCATGAATTTAAACGTGCTACTAGGTTGGCAGCTCGGTCCCACCCTTTTATTGTCGAAATAGTTAAATGTAACCGCCTCTTCTACCCCAACAGTTTCTTTGTTTGCAATTTCCGACAGTGGAACTGACTTCCTCTTATTTGCTTCCCTCTAATCTTCAAAAATTTAAATGTAATGTCAATCAACATCTTATGATGCATTGATTGTGATCCCCGTCCTTTTCTTTATCCTTTCCTCAAACACCCCTCTTTCCTCATACTTTCACACTCTCTAACTCTAGTAGCCCTCCCGTCTTGCTTCGGGTGAAATGCTTAAAAAAATATTATATTATCTTTTATGCATCTTTAAACTGCATAGATTGTGGTTATTATTCGAATAGAGTTCAAGATAGTCTTATCAATATTCTAAAAAAATTTTAATCATATTAATTCATATTTTCCTCGAATCTTCATCTCTTCCAAACGTAGGATCATCTGGGATGATGCCAAGGTTATGGGTTCAAATTTCACTCCGTGGTTATTGTTTTTTTTATTTTTGAGTTGGAACATTAGCTCGCAAATTCCTTGGCATGTTTTTTCTTCCTTGCTTTTTCTTTCTTTCTCTATTTTCTTATGGTTCCTTCATTCGGAATGTTTTCTTTCTTTTCTTCTCGTTCGTTTTCTGATACTTCATCTCTCTTCCTCTTTTTCATTTTCCTCCTCGGTTTCTTGTTATTTTTCTTCCTTTTTTTTTTACATTCTGCACTTCTCCCTATTCCCTCCTTTCTTTTCATTCTCCATCTCTTTTCTCCTTTCTTTCCTTGTTTCATTTTTCCATATTCTTCAGTTTCCATCTTTCTTCAGTATTTCACCGGAATTCATTTGCCTTTCTTTTTGTTATCTTCCTTTATTCTTCTTCTGTATTTCTCTTCATTTATTTCTTTTCCTCCATCATCTTTTTTAGGCATTTTACCCCAGTTAAGGCTGAGTGCCACTAGCGCGCAAGGGGTTACAAAAAGTGAGAGCAAGAGTAAAGAGGGTTGTTTGAGAAAAGGATATAGAGAAGGACGTGGATCAGGATCAAGGCATCACAAGATGTCGATTGACATTACATTTGAATATTTGAAGATTATAGTTATCAGAGAAGTAAGCAATAGGAAGGGAGTTCCACTGTTGGGAAGTGCAAGATAAGAAGCTGTTGGAGTAGAAGAGACGGCTACATGTAACCATTTCGAAAGTGAAAGGGTGGGACTGAGATGCCAACCTAGTAGCACGCTTGAATTCATCGGAACCAGAGAAAGTAGCAGTTGCCGTGAAAATACTTGAAGGGACAAAGGGAAGCTACAGAACGTCTGTGAGAAAGTGACCGTAGACGAGATGCCAGATTATACGTCAGTGGTAAATCGGACACAGCGGAAACCATCTTGCTTGTCAGAGAGCAGATCATGGGGTGTAATGTGCTTAACCACTTCGGCATTGATTAAACCCTAGAAAACTTTACCGAAGAGTGTTAGGTAACTGATAGGGCGGTCGCTGGATGGGTCAGAAGGGTCCCCAGAGTTCTTAAAGACAGGGACAAGAGATGAGGTCTTCCAACAGGCTATAAAGCAAGAGTCGTTGAGGCAGTAGCTGTATAGTTTGAAGAGGACAGGAGCCAGTTTAGGAGCACATTTTTTCAAGACAACGGCTGGTATCCCGTCCCCCCACCCCTTATGGAAGTCTAATTTAGAGATTATATCAAATATCATCGATGAGATTATGTGCATCTCACTCAATAGAACCTCAGTTCTGTGAGGAAATCAGATGTGGGTACACCGGATGAGTCGAGTGTTGAATTTGATGAGAATTTCCGAGAAAAGCATTCAGCCATATCAGCTGAGGAAATCAGGACCTCGAATTGATTGAATAAATGAGGTATTGTGGATTTGCTGTTGTTCAGCACGCTCTTGCAGAGACGCCAAGAGTTTTTCATCTCTTTTCTCTTTCCTTCATTCATCTCTTTGTTCTTCATCTCTTTTTCCTTCCTCCCTTTCTCTCTTCCTTTTCTTACATTTTTACTATATTTTCCCTTTCTTCTTCTGAATATCATTTTTTTTCTACGTCTTTTCTTCTTCCATTTCCTATTTTTCTTTTTCTTCTGCGTTTCCATTTCTTCTTTATTTCTTTCCTTTTTCTCGTTTCCCATCTTTCCCACTTTGCCATTTTCACTTCCTTCTTCTTTTTCTTCCTTTTTTTCTTCATCTATTTCTTCTCTTTCCTTTCTTTCATTCATTCTTGGGACTTTTCGCTTTTCATTTCACTTGCCGGGACCTTCTGATACACACAACCATATGCAGTTGGTGATGATATTTCGTGATTAACTGCCATTGTTTTATTAAATTATTTATTTCGAATTTTTGAATGCCTGCGTGTTTGACAAAGTGAGTGAGTGTTTGAGAAAGAGAGTGCGCGAGAAAGAGGGTTAGAGAGAAAGGCAGAAATTTGACTGTCTGATAATACCGCCTGAAAAAAAAAACAGTTTGATCTACGATGAAAAATGGCGGATATTTCGTTAAAAACAAAATGGTGGATGATTGATGTAACTTATAAAAAATGTAGTTCCGATGGATTTTTTTTTTCTTTTTTGTCCTTACAATTTCCTTTTTCTTTTACCCTTTTTATTCTTTTTTTTTTCTTTTCAGTAGGATTTCTTTTGATTCTTTTTATTCAACTTTATCAGGACAACTTTTCCTATTTCTTTTAGAAAAATAAAATTTTACCATTTCCTGACGAAAAGGAAAAACATTAAATTCTCTTCCTATTCCAATGAGAGCCAAGATTTTTTTTTTCTTGTTTGATGTGAAATGTCTTTTTTCTTTTCTTTATAATTTCTTTTCTTCCTTTCTTTTTGTTTATTTATTTGGTCAAATTAACAGTGACAGAGAGCTTAAAGAGCCTAGCAACGTTGAATTATTTTCTGCCCTAGACAGGAAGCCACTTGCTAATTAAGGAAAATTGAAATTTTCGAAAACTTTTTCTTTTCATTTTACTTTAAAAAAAATTACTCATGACATTAATTCTCTTGATATCTACCTTGCTTACCTTAGGACAAATAAAAAAAAAACATCGGCGGGGTGAGATGGAATATTTCATGGTGGAGTACGATTCGTTGCAATGGTCGTGTGGTTCGATAAGAAAAAGGAGGAAAAGATGAAGATATGCTAATGGATAGGGTGATTTAATGAGATAAGAAGATTCTTATGGCAAGCATTCCTAAAATAGGATTTGGGAGATGTATAGTGGATAATGGAATATTTTGCGGGGTAGGTAGGAAAATTCAGCGTGTGATATGAACCTAATCTAAGCTTAAATGAAGACTTTACTTTATACAAACATAAAATGCTAAGCGTAGAAACGTGTTATTTGCCTTCTCTCCGACCCCGAAAAAGGAAAGCTAGCGAATATAAGAACATGCTGTCCTTACTCACAAATTCAGAACGTTATGTTGCAATCGAACTTGTTTTTTTTGTTTGTTTTTTTTTTGTTTTTCGTCCATGTGTCCGGGAAGCATCTTCTTTTCATGGCGATTGACCGGCTAAGCATGGAGCATATTAATTAGGGGTTAACCCAACAAGATAGTGATTCCTGGGCGCCTACGGTGTTTTATCAAACCTGTTTCAGTCGGCCGAATCATGAGTTCACTGTTTGCGAGATGTTGTCTCTACTTGGGTTTCGGGTCAGATTAAGCTTCGCAGAACAAGAGTGTTTAAATCTTCATAAGATAAGCTACACATTCTTCCTTGTCTTGCATCAGGTAAATATCTTGGTCCTTCTTCTGCACCAAGCTAAGCTTAGCATAGATGGTTCTTCATAGGGTGTCCTAAAATTGGATCCTTTCTTCGAATTAAGCTAACATGCTACCTAAGCGGATGCGAATCCGCCTTCATTTGTATTCTATACGGGGGAAATTCCACACAACATTTTCCTAAGTAGTTTAATGTAGTGGAAGAGACGACTGAGTGTAAGTCTCTGTTATACTGGAACACACCTATTCTATTGTTAATAGACTCTCCCACCTATAATAAGTAATAATAGTAATAAGCCGCTGGTGAACTCTAGGAGTTGGTCAGTCAGTTGATGTCGGACGACCGAAAATCGGATATTAAAGTATCAAAGATCACCAAAACAACTAGATTGCTGCGTCATTAACTATTATATTTGAAGATCTTCAAAAACGTTTTGTACATCGAACCTATTTTAGAACCGACTTAGTGAAATATAAGACTCTACTGTGAAACTACTCTATAACAGTCTCCCAGAACACTACAACATTCAAATCAAACATTAATCATTATCTATCCTCTTTATTCTCACTTCTTATATTTATATCAAGCACCTCATTCAGGAACACTCTGCCTTGTAAAAAATAAAAAGTAAATAAGTCTCCTGTTGTGTAGAAAAAACGAACGAGGTTCTCTACAACACAGTGTTGAACACAGACTCTTCTATTGGCTATGAAAATGGCCGCAAGCGGGACGTCTGCATTAACTACGATATTCACTCGTATTGAAATATTAATCCACTTGATTAAACAGTCGTTTCACTAATCTTGTGTTCCAGAGCTTTATTTTTAGAATATTATTAACCCGAACTACGAGTTGATACGAGCATTTTAACAGTTCCTTCTTAGGTGACTCACAATTCTGTAAATTTTAGTAAATTTCAGAATGATTCACAGGGAAACACTAATTAAGAAGTTACGTTTTCTGCAGACCTGATGAACGGTTTTACTCTCACTGACTCTCCTTTGGGAATTAAAGCTCACTGCAGACATTATACTTGACGATCCATCTCTGAAGATGCTGGAAAAATGTTCGGCTCTCTGTGCCACACTAGAAAGTACCCGACTCCTCCTGCCATGTTTTATATTTACAAGCGAATGATCAGAACAAAGATAGACTATTGCTGCCATATTTGGTCCGTGATTGCTCACCCCTGACTGTCCAAGCTTGAAAGAGTATAAAAGCAAGAACGCGGCCTTGTGGGTGAATTCTTTTCAAATCTGCAACACCTTTACCACAGGCGCAACATCGCACACCTATCACAACTGTCGCTATTTTTCAGACGAGATACATCCCACGTTCGCAAGTTCGACTAATTCCTGTTCGTATTCCAATGGTAAGGATGAAGTTCTACTCAGAAATCTTCTTCCACAAAACTATTGCCTTTGTGAAACAGACCACCGAGAGGATGCTTTCTATATCACTACGATGTTAAGCTCTTCAAATCTAGGGTCAACCTTTATCTATCCTTCATATACTCATAATATGCACTTCTTATTTTCTTCCTTTTATGTTGGTACAGCCCTTTACTTGAGTGGCTCTTGGCTCTTGTATTAGTATAAAAAAACGCAGGCCATTACAACTGAATTAAATTCGATTCTCGCTGAGGACTCATTGTGTCATCGTAAAATAAGCTTTTTAAATACGAATAGGTTATTTTGTCGGTCCCGTTAAAATAGACACCAAGTTTATTTTGCCGATAAATATAGTGTTTTAGAACTAATAACATATTATATTTGAGATCGTCAGTGTATTGGTTCAGTGATTAGTGTAGGAAGGACTTGAACAACATGGATTCTGTGGTCTGTTAATGTTGTCTTCTGTGGTTGCACCTGAAGTGTATTAGCAAAAGAATCATGCCCACGGGCAGGTTTGGGATTTGCAGAAATTGTTATGCCTGAAGTGCTTAAAACATTCAGAGATTTCTATATTTCTTTTAATATTCGATGATGAATTTTAACTTTTGTTTTAACAATTGATGGTGAAAAAGATTTTAAATTGTCTTAACAAGTTATAGTGAAAATAAAGAGACTTCTGTATTAAATCTGTGTGTTGTTATTTTGTGAAGGAATCTATGGCAGTCCATGCCTTAAAGAAATCCAAAATATTGTACTCACAATTACAGCCCACACCTTAAGAGGGGCTTTATCAATGTAAAATATGGGCGATTTTTTTTTCCAAAACTACTCAGTGGAAAAATATCAAGATGCCATTTCTTAGGTCTCTGGTCGGGACACGGAAAGAAATGAGTATAAACCAGAAATCAAAGGAAATAGAATAATAATAATAATAATAATAATAATAATAATAATAATAATAAACTGGTATGAACACTATTCAGACCGGGTTACGGATGTAAGAATTATAACAATTTTACGGGACTTTACAATACAAACGGGCAGGAAAATCAAATATAATCGCCTAGACATCGTAAGCAAAGCTCACCAAAACAGAATGTGCTTTCTTATTGGCATAACATATCATGCAGATTGTAATGTATCTTTGAAGATCTTCAAAAAACGATGAAAATGTGGTACATGAGAACATCAATAATTCTAGTTGTAGTTGGAGACATCGAATTGGTTGGAAAAGATTCCAACAGACTCATTGAAGGGATTCCTGGTAGCCTATGCCTTAAAGAAATACAAAAAAATATACTCAAGTACAAACCCCACGTTACAAAATATGTAAAATGTATATGATCTTAGTTTATTTTTCTTCTTGAAACTATTTCTTACCTTAGGACTCTGGTTAGGACCCTAAAGGAAACGGGTATACAACAGGAATCTAAGGATATAATAATAATAATAATAATAATAACAACAACAGCAACAAGAATAATAATATTAATAACAACAGCAACAATAATAACAATAACAACAGCAACAATATTAATAATAATGACAACAACAGCAATAATAATAATAACAACAGCAACAATAATAACAATAACAACAGCAACAATAATAATAATAATAACAACAACAGCAATAATAATAATAATAACAACAGCAACAATAATAATAATGACAACAATAGCAACAATAATAATAATAACAACAGCAACAACAATATTAATAATAATGACAACAACAACAATAATAATAATAGCAACAGCAACAATAATAATAATAAGAAGAACAACAACAGCAACACTAACAATAATGATAAGAATAACAACAGCAACACCAATAATAATATTAACAGCAGAAACAACAATAATAATAATAATAACAACCGCAGCAACAATAATAATAATAACAACAACAGCAACAATAATAATAATAACAACACAACAACAACAATAATAATAATAACAACAACCGCACAAATAATAATAACAACTGCAACAGCAACAATAATAATAATAATAACAACAGCAACAATAATAATAATAACAACAGCAACAATAATAATAATAATAACAACAACAGCAACAATAATAATAATAACAACAACAGCAACAATAATAATAATAATAACAACAACAGCAACA